AAAAAAATGTCCTCCAACTTACAATGCAGCTTTATCGGTCTAGGCGCTATGGGCAAGAACATGGCTGGCCATATCGCGAAACACGTCGAATCACTCGGTTATCCCCCTTTGCTGGTCTTCAATCGTACCCAAGCAAAATCTGAAGAACTTAAAAAAACTCATCCTGTAAAAGTAGCTACCGCACTTGAAGAAGTTGCAAAGAAATCAGACATCATCTTTTCTTGTCTTCTAAATGACGCGGCTGTAGAAGAAGCGGTGAATGGCCTGGTCCCTCATCTTAAATCCGGCACTCTTCTCGTTGAACAGTCTACGATTAGTCCTAAAATGGCAGAGAAACTCGCTGAAAAGGTGTCTCAAGTTGGTGCAACATACTTGGCTTGCCCCGTAATGGGTCCTCCAGCAAAGGCTGCTGCTGCAGAATTAATCGTTCTGGTCGCTGGTGGTGACAGCAATAGTCGCTCTAAAGCCCTGTCAATATTGATTCCAGCTATTGGTAAAAAGAAGATTGAACTTGGCGATACTGTTGGCCAATCATTACGCTTGAAATTATGTGGTAACTTTGTTGTGACAAGCACTGTAGAGATGTTGGCCGAATACATGACTCTTGCTGAAGCCTCTGGTGTTGGTCAAGATAAAGCTCAAGAGCTATTGGACAACTTCTTGCCAGGAACAATGGTAGCTACATATGGCTCACGTATGTCTCAACAAACTTTTACAAACGAAATACATTTTCCTGTTAGTTCTATCAAGAAGGATGTGAATCATATAATCAACCTTGCAAAGGAATCTAATGCCTCTATACCTATCACTCACAAGTTTTTGGAACATTGTAATACCGTACAAGAAAAGCATGGTGATTTTGACTTGACAAGCGTTGTCGGAGGTATGTGTTTGCACGCCATTTATGGAATTTGGTACTAACCCTTTTCTCACTTTTGATATAGTTCTCAGAGAAGAGGCTGGACTTCCTTTTATCATTGAAAAGAAATAAACATTATTGTTTATTTATCAGAGGGGAGTTTTATTTAATGTGCTTGCGTGTTTAGCTTTTCATTTCCTTTTTTGTGTCTCAGTTGATCTCTAGAGATTCAACATGACCATCTCTATAAGAATAGTCGATATAGATCACTACCTGCAAAGACCGTGCTTTTTAGATCGCGCTTATTCTCCCTTCTGTGACAACCCTCTGTCAAGAGTACCTGTTATTAGAATATTTGGATCTACCGATGCAGGTCAGAAAGCATGTGTTCATATTCATCAGGTAAACATGACGAATCGAGCAAAACTGCTGAACTAAATCGACATAGATCTACCCTTATTTCTTTGTTCCTTATACTATATCCCAAGGATACACTCTAGAGGATATCCAAAAGAGCATCTTTCAATTTGGAACCTGTCTCAACCAAGCCTTTGACCAGTCAATCAAACCTAGTCCTGACAAGAAAAATCAGCATATTGCTGCCATTGTCCTTGTGAAGGGTGTACCATTCTATGGGTACCACACTGGATACCAGACGTTTTTAAAGATATACATTATAGACCCATCTGAAAAGCAGCAGATGATCGATATACTTCAATCACAAGCCATCATGGGGACTCACTTTCAGCCCTTTGAGTCCCATATCCCGTTTGAGCTTCAGTTCTTAATGGATCATAACCTCCATGGTATGGATTGGATGCATTTAGATACAGATACCGTTGGCAGACATGCAGAGATCGGTCTTCGTTTCCGTTTGCCTTTGGTTGATACACCCAAGTCAGAGCACAATAAATCTCAGGCGTCAGGGTCAACTTCTATGACAGAGGTGCATGATAAATTAGTTTATACATCAGAAACTGTACCTGTCATGTTACAGTCAGATGCTCTTGCTCGAGAAAGTTATTGCGAATTGGAAATTGATGCTACCAGTATGTGCATCCTGAACCGGTTAGATCTCACCGAGAGAGATATTCATGCTGATTTGAGCTACGAGATGAAGTTACAGAAACACGATTTACTCAACCCTGATGAAGTGGCCAAAAGGAAACTCGTGAAATCACTAGAAACCATATGGAAGGACGAAGCTAAGCGTCGTAGGGCAAAGGGGAATACAGAACCTTTGTGGTCAGTATCCCAAACAGATGACCAGCGTGTGCCATCCAGCGTGCCTTGGACTTCAGAACCTTCGTTAAGAAGCATTTTGAACAAAATGATTGAGAGATCAGGCACTGAAGCCCACACGAATAGAGATCCCATCTTATTAAATGATGTTATGACTGTATTTCAATCTGTTGAATCTCTGTATCCACAAGAATACTATCAGCTCAAAAGAGGTACTACAAATCAACACGTTGCTACTCCCCAAGAAAAAGAAATGAACCAATTTAGCGTTATCTCTGATCCTTCTCGATATAAAGCATGGATAACACAAAACTATGTGGACACAAACCTTATTGACTCCTATCTCGAAAGTAAAGCAAAAAATGATGACGAAGAACAACATTTTGACTTGGACCACGAAGAAACTGACCAGCAGATCTTGGATAATGATGTCTTTGACAATGGTGATTATATTTTAAAAGAAAGTGATATTGCGAAATGGATAGAAGAATCCGAAAAGAGAGAAGGTTCATCAAGGCCTGTGGTGAGTATAGAATACGAAGATGATGACGATAATATACGTCAAGGTGAGACCATGAAAGCTCAGAAAACAAGCTTCTTATCAGAACAAGTAGATATGATATCACAAGTAGGACAAAAACGAAAGCTTGAGTTAGAAGAAAACGATGCACAGTATACTGAAGATGGACCATTCCAAATAAGCAATATACTTCCTGATACCATGTAAGGCGTGAAAGCATGTGAAGCATTCTTTTGTAAATTGAAATTGTCATGTAGGTCGCGTCCAAATCGGTTTTTACGAAAGCTTCGAATCAGTCAATTAGATGGTACAAAGGATACAGACGAATCAACAAGTAACGTGCGCTCAATATCGGCAAAGGAGCAATGGGAACAAGAAAAGAAATTGTTGAAAAAGATGAAGACAAGAAAGAGAAAAATGCCTGAAAATGACAATGAGACAATTGTATCTGTAGTTATTAAAGAAAGTCCCATATTCAACAGGAGAAGAAAAAGAAAACAAAAGGTATCAAACCAGCAACATGCCACAACTGAGGGTGAATCACAAAAAGATATACCTCAGGATGGCAGTGGCAGCCAAGAAAATAGTACAATATTATCAAACTCCCATTATGGTGTCAGTCAATCTATTTTAAGTAATAGTGAGCCGCTACTTAGCTCGCAGCAGGAGCGAGTGGCTGTAGAGCATACATATAAAAAAGATGTGGTGAAAGGAGATGATAGTAGTCCAGGACTAATAGACATGAGTGATATTCTTGATAAGCAAACGCTTAGCAAGTTTTTTTTGAGCAAGCTTAATTATATATGGTCACCAAAAGAAGATTTTGAAAACCATGCACTCTTGCATGAATCATTACCTACAGCCCAAGACAAACCATGCAATGCAAAGCAACTCTTGTCTATATCATCAGGATCTGATATCGTTGAGAAACAGCAGGCAGTGCATGTAACAAATGATATTGAACAGGATGACAACGTAGACTACGACTGGGAAAGATACTTTCAAAGAAGTGAAAATGCATCAAGTAGCAGAAAACGTGCCAAAGTCACTCAAATAGCACACAAGCCTGCACAAATGGAATTTGTCTATGTTCATACACCACCAACCATAACAGAGGAAGATCCAATAATGAAAAATATACCCAACGTCATATACAAAGAGCCATTCTATAGCAAATCGTCTGACGTACCAACATACCCAACTTCATTTAATGGACAGGAATTCAAATTGAAATGCAATACAATAAATAGCTTAAAGGAGTTCAAGAATAGATATTTTCACATGCGGCAAAAGAGAGATGAAGCCTCTAAAGTTACTATCCGTCATTGGACTCCAACTAATCCTCCGCCCAGCTTTAAAGAAGTGCAAGCGTGGCTAGAAGATGAGAAAGTGTGTAAAAAGCTTAAAATTACATACGAAGGATCACAGGTAATGTTAATGAGGAGATAACGCTCTAAATTAGTGTACACTAACAGCAATAATAACAGCTTGATGGCCCTTCACTTGATGGACCATTTGACTTTAAATACAGCGCCAGTAAGCCTGTAGCCAAAACTACGTATATCAAGAACAACATAGATTATTTTAGCTTGGAAATACACGGTAATACTATATAGCATGACTATATTTTTTATGGGGCTTATTTTATCACAATAGCTAATACCAGAGCCGACTTATTGCCAGACCCAGAGCAAGATGCAGTTTCTGTTATATTCTATTGTCTGAAAACTGAAGGTTTAAACGTTCCAACGAATGGCTATCAGCGAGGCTATCACCTTGGTATCATATGTTTAAACGACTTTATTGTAACAAAAATTGGAATTGCTACAACACGTAAACTACAACATAAATTACTTGTACAGACACTCTAATCTTTTGAATTCAGGTGCTGACATAAATTATGCAGAAACAGAAGAGGAACTATTTTCTATTCTAATCGAAAAGGTCAGGCTCTATGACCCTGATATGTTGGTTGGTTATGAAGTCCAGAATTCATCATGGGGTTACCTTATCGAACGAGGAACTCATTTAGGTATGATTAACTATGTTCATTTATGCGTGTGCTAAACTATTACTTTTGCAGGAATCAATGTTGTAAACGAATTATCAAAAGTGATTAGCTATCCTTCCAACAGTGTCCGCAAAGATGATTGGGGATATAAGAAGGCATCAATGTATAAGATATGTGGAAGGCATATGCTTAACGTTTGGCGATTGATGAGAAGCGAACTTGCGTTGACGAGTTATACACTCGAAAACATTGCATATAGCTTGCTACACGAGAGGTATTCAATTATACAGTTTATCTAACTTCCCATCTAACACTTCTCAAGAGTACCTCACTTTTCCCATGCAACGTTGACAGCATGGTATCGACATGGACCAGCTGTTTTAAGACATCGGTTATTCAAGTATTACATGAAGCGAGTGCAAATGAACCTGGATATACTAGATGTGTCTCAGGTCATCAGCCGCACTTGTGAATCTGCCAGAGTTTTCGGTGTCAATTTCTATTCAGTTCTTACAAGAGGATCCCAATTCAAGGTTGAATCAATCATGCTTCGCATTTCAAAGCCTGAGAACTTTCTAATGATTTCTCCAAGCAGAAAACAGGTAAATAAAAACTTGATTGTGGCTAATAGATACTCATCTATCTTATTAGGTTGGCTCCCAGCGCTCGCTTGAATGTTTACCACTCATTATGGAACCTATTTCAAAGTTTTACAACAGTCCGATGGCTGTCCTAGACTTTCAAAGCCTGTATCCCTCGATTATTATTGCTTATAATTATTGGTAAATAATTGTTGTGTATTCAATCGCATGTAATCTAATACAACAGCCATTATGCCTTAGTTATTCCACGTGTTTAGGCCGTATTCGAAAACCTGGAGAATCTTCGCGATTTGGCGTTTTGGACTCATTTGACTTACCTAATGGGCTATTGAATTCCTTAAAAGACTACATTAATAGTAGGTGCTCTAATGTTTATGCTCAGAATTTATATTCACTGGACTGTTAGTATCTCCTAACGGGGTAATGTTTGTAAAGCCTGAAGTTCGAAAGAGTTTACTTGCTAAAATGCTTCAAGAGCTCTTAGACACAAGAGTCATGGTTAAAAAATCGATGAAAGAGCACAAGGATGATTCTGTAAGTATAATAGATGTAAGCTTATACTCGTATCTAATGATACCATAGGGTCTTTTGAGATCTCTTGATGCAAAACAATTGACATTGAAGTTTATTGCAAATGTTACCTATGGTTATACCTCTGCTTCGTTCTCTGGAAGAATGCCTTCTGTTGATATTGCCGATAGTATTGTTCAAACAGGACGAGAAACTTTAGAGAGAGTAAGTCTATTGGATGACACTCCCCTTCATAACTAAGCATCTCCATGCGTATGTAGGCTATTGATCTTATTCATAGTACAGAGAAATGGGGCGCACAGGTTGTGTATGGAGACACAGATAGCGTCTTTGTTTATTTCCCTGGAAAAACTATTGAAGAAGCCTTTGCACTAGGAAATGAAATTGGAAATACGATTACCAAAATGAACCCTGCGCCTATAAAACTAAAATTTGAAAAGATTTATCATCCTGCTGTTCTTTTGGCAAAAAAGAGATATGTCGGCTTCAAGTATGAAAGTCCTGAAGTGGCTGAACCAGTTTTTGAAGCAAAAGGCATAGAGACTGTCAGAAGAGATCACACATCAGCTACCCAAAAGATATTGGAGTCTAGCTTAAAGTAAGACATGATCGGTAGCAATTGCATTTCTTTTTTAACTTGAAGATTAGGATTTTATTTAGAACACAAGATATGTCTGAGCTGAAACAGTATCTTTATAGACAATGGACTAAAATCTTATTGGGTCGAGTACGACTACAAGACTTTATTATTGCAAAAGAAGTTCGTATGGGTACCTATGCTAGTCGAGATGGACCGAATGGGGCAATCGTCGCTCAAACAAGAATGAATAAAGACATACGGTCCGAGCCACAATATGGAGAGCGTGTCTCTTATGTTGTCGTTTGTAAAGGCCCTGGAGCAAAGCTTAAAGAAGAAGTGGTTAGTCCAGAAACAGTATTAAATAACAGGTATGTAAAAAATAACTAAGCGAGGCATAGCCACAGCTAAAAGCATTTTTTATAGTCACTTACGACTAAACGCCGAGTATTATATACGTAAACAGATCATTGCACCAATAAGTAGAATCTTTAACATAATAGGAGTTGGTAAATGTTCATTCTAGGAAATAACAGCAAGGAGTCTAATTGCACATTGATTAGATATTTTATCCTGGTATGAAAACATGCCTCGTGTACAAAGTGGGGCTTTTGGAGGTCTAAATAGCTTTGCGGAACATGAGCATGGAAAATTGAGGTTTATTGATCAATACTACTCACGCCATCATTGCGTTGTCTGCCATAAATCAACAGACCAAGGGACGCATATAACGGATGGCGCTATGCGACTAGTAGCAACAAATATAATTGTGTGTGAAACATGTGCAAAAGAGCCTCAAAAGGTGATTTATACCCTTACCTGTCGACAAACATCAGCGCAGCGCAAGCTAAGGAATATACTAAGTACATGCCAAAAATGTACTGGGTTGTCGCCACTTGACTGTAAAACATCAAACAATCAATCTGGATCACAATGTGAAGATGTTCCGTGTGTTTCCTTGAATTGTCCTATTTATTATGAAAGATTGACAGCAAAGAAAGATGCTCAAGCATTGTTAAGCTATAATAAGCTGCTTGATGATTTGTCATTTTCATGACATATCATTGAATATGCAGCCAATAGATAATCTTGCTCCCTATTTAGCGCGAAATTAGATGGTTTAGCTCGTTTGCAAAGGCCATATACAGAGTTATGAAAATAAATCCACCTGTTTGTATTTCGGAAATATCTGTAGAATAAGACACGTACCACTCATTGTATATTCTAAACTACAAAAAGTGAACTGTAGGTCTAATACTCGATCTCACACAGTCTCAAAAAAGCACCACACCTTCGTACTTGTTCATTTACAGACAAAAAAAAATGTCCTTATTACAACTCAAATCAAGCATATCTTTTAATACAGGCTTTTCTGCAGTCGAAAGCATCCAAACAAGTCGCATCAGACGCTATACGTTCTCTTGTCAAGAAAACAACATCGTTCTTCCACGACAAGTTGTCAATTATAAAACTAATTTACCTTATCAATTCTATTACTATAACTCCCCTTTTTTTCTTTTGGTTAGTTAGATTGAAAAAATCTTGTCATTAGCTGCTTGTGTGCCTCCTTTTACAAAACTTAATTGGCTGAAGATGCTTTTATATTTGTTTTTGATATGCATTTTCAGCTATTGTAATGCTATAATATTTCTTTTGAAAAAATGAAAAATTGTGAATAACAATTTAGTTTTTGTATGAAAATTTATAGCTTACTGGCGTGTTCTTTTTCAAGATATACAAACGCCTTGTTCTTAACCATGATCCATCGTTGGTTTTCGATCAATGTCTTGTTTCATGAGCTTCAACCTGCGCGTCATACGCCATTTGATGTATGAGCACACACTATTCCAAATAATTCATTGATATAAATACCTTTTTGTTGTACACATCATTGTTATTTGGGTCTTTGGGCAGGCAAACCTCATCAATTAACTGGGCATTTTCATCTCAGAGACTATATCAGTTAGCTATTCAATTCTCTAGATATGTGATTAAAATCGTTACTTACTAAGTATACCGTTCGTTGTATTAGTTTTTCACCTTTTTACATTTATGAATACCTGTAAAGTAGAAAGAAAAGAGCTGCATATTAAAGCAATATTTTAAGGAGAGTTTTTATAGAGAGAATATTCATGACTGCTATTTATATGCAGTGTGTCAATATTATTGTCATCTGATGCACGATAAATAAATAAAAGGTAAAATATATGCTTCACTAATGGTTTATCTCTGTGTATCTATGATAACAAAGGTTAAAGAGAAAGGTCTTTTTAAAAAGCAAAAAAACCGGCCAATTATACTGAGCGAAAGAGCTGGCCAATCAAATTGCTTTGACCCAGGTGCGTCCAAGGTCGAAACTGCTTTTTTACCTCTCATTTCGACCCTAGTAACTCATGTTTCGTTTTTCGCGTCCTCTCTTGAATGCTGCAAAGGGAACCACCTTTAGAACGTTCCGACGTCAATATGTGACAACATTTCCCAAGAAAGTAATTTGTGTGTAGTTTGAAATTAGACAGCGTAATCTCTAATGTTACCATAGTTTCAAGCATCTAATTCAAAGTTGCTGCTTGGTGCTACAGCTGGCATTGGATTTGCAGGAGCTTGTTTAGCCTTGCAAGAGCCTGTATCTGCTGAAGCACCTGGTTACGCTGGGACTGTTGAAGGTATATATGCGTTATTGTTATTATATTTACCCTTATTGACTTCTTTTAGACCCTGCTTCCAAATTGTCATTTCCCATTTTCTTGAATACGGGCAACAGCGAATGGAAAAAGTTGGTTGGTTTAGGTGTACGTACAGTTACATTCCTTCAGATGCATGTTTATGTACTCGGCTTGTATATGAAAACTGATGATATTGAGTCGCTAAAGAATCTGGATGGCTTTAAAGTAAGTATATGCATATACATAAGTATCCATGTTTTACAAATATGTAACCATAGATAGGAATTTGACAGACAAAAGTTTCTTGAAAACGAGGAAATGGCTAATAACTTAGTTAATCAACCCTATGACATAAGCATTCGCCTTGGTAATAACAAAAATGATTCATATGGCCATTTAATTATATACTAATACACTTAAATAATCTCCAGTGCCTGTTCGAGCTACCAATACACAGCATCTTCGTGATGGCTTTGTACGCTTATTTATGCAACGTTTGAAGGCACAATCATTGACTGAAGATGAAGAGCGAGAAGTTTTAAAAGCTATTCAAGATTTCAAATCAAAGTTTGTTAATATGAATGTGAAGAAGCAAACAGAATTTATATTTACAAAGACAAAGGAAGGTGGATTGAAAATAGTTTATGAAGTATGAAATAACCCATTCTTCCTTTATAAGCTGTATCTAACATACTATTTATTTAGGGAAAAGAGTGGGGAACTGTGGATAATATGTGGGTGGCGAAAAACTTTATTATGGGATACTTGAGCCCTATTTCACCTTCAAGTGAGGCAGCGCTTAAAGACATTGCCGATGGATTCGAAAGGTTGATTAAATAAACAAATAAATAAAAAACATATGAAGCTTTTTGATATCTATCTTTCTTTAACAAGCACTGTTTACAAGAATCAAAGTGAAAAAATAATGGTTGCTAATTCAAGATGAGCATCATCGTTAGTGAGAGCATCAGGTGTTTGCTTATAGAAAAATGGCAATCAAAGAACAGTTGTTTGCAAGAATCCTTAGATGTTGATGTTCTCTCAAACAAATTTGTGTCATTCGTGAAAAACCCCGCATAAAATGCTTAAAGAAATTAAAGAAATTTATCTAGAGCAGTAAATGTCGGACTTTCTTCCTTTGTGCTGTAATGGAGCTCGGATACCTTTTTAGGGGGTACTAAGAGCTGTCCGCAAGGGGGAGCCTCAACCGTTCACCCAGCTCTTTCTCCAAAAACCTAACGTAAGTGAGGCAACATTGACAGAGTAGCATTAAGACTGGATAACTGTATGGAAACAACGAGGATGCATGTACATTAAATAATGGATGGATGAAATAAATGAGGTGGGATGGATAATCTAGTTCACTTTATTCAGCGCGTCAATTAACTCAATGGCTACATTGCACATGGTTCACATTAGCCTCTATAATAATTGGCGTACTCTCCTACCTTTTTTTCATTTGCTCGATCGTCTCCCATTTCAGTTTCAGTCTTACCTCTACTCTGTATGTACCTAAAAGAGTTAAAAGCTAAATTAAAAAATATAGATGTCTGCAGAGAACCCCCAAGTTTCCGCTCAATCTCGTGCTGAACAAAAGGCTCGCAAGTCTCTTCTTTCTCTTGGCTTGAAGCCTGTCAATGGCATTACCCGCGTCACCTTCACCCGTGGTAGAGGTATTGTCTTCGCCATCAACAGACCTGAAGTCTTCAAGAGCGTCAATTCCGACACTCACATTGTCTTTGGTGAAATGTCTGTTGATGACATGGCTGCTCGTGCTCAACAAGCTGCTTTGGAACAACAACTCGCCACTGAAGGTGAAAAGACCGAAGAAAAGTCTTCTGAAGAAGCCCAAGCTGCTGTTGAAGAAGAAGAAGAAGAAGTTGATGCTGAAGGTGTTGAAGAAAAGGATATTGAATTGGTTATTAACCAAGCCAACGTTTCCCGCGCCAAGGCTATCAAGGCTCTCAAGAACAACGATAACGATGTTGTTAACGCCATCATGGTATGAATTATAAAACAAGTAATATAACCTGATACTAATAGTCTTTTTTGAAACTAGGAACTTACTATGTAAATCCTAAAAAAAGATCCTTAACCACTTCAATTTGTATTAAACGTGTGCCCATGAATAAAAATTCAAATCAAAAATTGGCCTTTGTCTATGATGGATATAGAAATATCCTTTGTATTCTATTCCTTAATTTATGGACGTACGAGTTCGCGAGAGGAAAAGCATTCTATGAATTATGCCTCTTCATACAATTATCTAACGATTCTCACACGATAGAGTATCACTGAACAGATATGTGTGTCTGTAAAACCATGTTCGTCTGCTTGTAAATTGTTGATACTGTTTTATTAAAAATAAATTTCAGAAAGAGGATAAAATTATGACGTGTATGAAAAAAAGTATTTACGCAAAGGTTAAAAATAAAATGCGTGCAAAGGAAACGACATACAAATGAGAGTAATAAGGTCCAAGGAGAGAATATAAAAAATTATACAGTTAGTTAAGAAAATTATTACATACAACTTACCCCGAAGGCATCTAGATGTGTCCTAGCGATAACTAGGACGGAGAATCATCAGTGCGTCTTCTAGTTCTTGGTTGCTCCTGATCGTCCACTCTTCTTCTACGCCTTGTAGGAGCAACAGCAACCCGGCGAAACCTATGAGGAACCATGCCATTACATCGAAGCCCACGAAGGATGTGCATGTAGTTGAGACAAGCAGCAACATTCCTGTTCCATAAGCGATATCTATCTGGTGCTGCCATGGCGGGTCTACAGTATAGATTGCTGCATCTACAAGCAATGTTCAATCAGTATAAAATCATCCAAGTGACTAATATATTATTACTTTAAAAGACCATGGCAGACAGCAGTAGGATATCGCTCTCGTTGATACGGTCGTGGATTTGGAACACGACGGAACGTGCGGAGGCTATCGTTGCGGCATGCTGGACAGTACCTACTGGTCTTGTACTAGTCTATAAGAAAACCTTGGAACCCATGCTTTCTGAGGAGTCTTCGGAAACCAAGGCCACGGATGAGCTCATGATACCTAGCATGGGGAGCGGATCAGTTTCCCATCACAAACACAGCGTTTTCTCCAAACTTGGCGCGTAAGTCTTGAATAAGCTTTTGATCGGCACGTTGTTTGTTGAAGTACGCTAAAAGACGGATCTTGCGAAAGAGGGAGTATCCATTATCATGATTTGTGATGGTATATCCATAGAATTGACTGAGAACGGCAAACTGTTCAGATCTAGCTTGAAGGAAGTGGCTAAAGCCCTCCATGGATACGGCGCTGCTTGGCTGGCGGCTGCGGTAATCTCAGGCTACACTTTATTAATCCTGAAGCAGGGATCGCACCTAAAATCGCTGTTGTTTGTGCTCGGGTTTTGGGCACTGTGACCACAGCAAATAATCCTCTTTTTGACCAGACCATACTACGTTTTAAATTAATGTGAAATGCAGACTCATCGAGAAAGACGCAATTAGTTCTAAAGTTTATGTCCGTACGCCCCCACTTACGAACCCAGTCAAAACGCTCCTGAATTTTTTCTTCACTGCTCCTATCTACAGGCTGAAATTAGGCTTTTTTGAGTGACAAATTACATTCAGTTCTTACAAAATTGTAGACAGTGCTTTTAGAGACCTTGAGATCCTGAAAATTTTGAAGTAGTCGCTCCATTACTTGCTCCAAGACGGCTGAAGGATTCTCATCTATATACTCCAAGACCACTTGCTTGTGTTCTTCTTGAAGTATACGCGAGCGACCGGTTTTCTTATGCTTTATAAAAACATTATCAGGATCCGTTTTGTACATTTGAGCCCATCTTTGAGCTGTGCGAACATGAATACCTAATTGTTTTGCAGCAGCTGAAGCACTCATAACATTCTCAAACATCAGTTTAAAGAATCTAACTTTGTCTTGATCCGTATAGAGTGTGTACGCTCGCTTACTCGACGCCTCCTTCATGCAAACATCTGGGTCATCTTTTGCAT